TCCCTCCCTCCCTTTTCCCCCCTGGCTTGAGGGTAGGACTGTTTTTAAGTCAGATTCTCTGGATGGTGTGCATCGTGTTGAATACCATTGGTAGGCACTGTAGTACAAGCCTCATGGTGTGTGTTTGTTGTCCTTGATAACACTGGCTTTAAAACTGGATGTGTATGTTTTATTAATATGTATGAAGTGCCCAGTCATGCCTTGATGGATGGAGAGACATCTCTGCTGTGCTGAAATTTTCATGTTAATGGAGAGGTCTGTGTTTGTTTGCCAGTTAGGCCACTGCAGTTGCATCTGCCAACGTTTTTTATATGACCAGTTAAATCAAACTGTCACTGAACTTGGTTAGAGTTGATTCAATTCTAAAAGTTTACAGTGTTAAGCATAAAAACATGCATCTTCTGGCTTGCTAGAAGTCTTTTACTAATTTAATTTTACTTTCAGAGTTCCTTGAGGTTGGCAAAAAACAGCCTGCCCTTGATGTTCTCTATGATGTTATGAAAAGTAAAAAACACCGAACATGGCAGAAAATCCACGAGCCGATTATGCTGAAGTACCTGGAGCTCTGTGTGGATCTCCGCAAGAGTCACCTGGCAAAAGAAGGATTATACCAGTACAAGAACATCTGCCAGCAGGTATGGCTTTGGAGTCTTTTATTTTTAATTCTTTTTATTTGTAGCAAACACGATCTATATCAGCTGATACACTCTAAAAGTAACAGTTTGGTTTTGAGTTAGAATTAGTCCGCCTTTTAGATGTTCCTGGGTTTGTAGCATTTACATTTTAAATATTTGCTGCCTGTTGTGTGTGGAAACACCTTCCCATTTGCTGCCTTTGATGTAGGTGAACATCAAATCTTTGGAAGATGTTGTTCGAGCCTATTTAAAATTAGCTGAAGAAAAAACAGAAGCAGCTAAGGAAGAATCCCAGCAGATGGTACTGGACATAGAAGACTTGGATAACATTCAAACTCCAGAAAGGTGAGCAGCCTGTCTTTAAAATGTAGCAATTCACAGCAAAGTATCCCTGTTTTCCTGAAGAATATTGGCAGTTCAGAGAACTGGGATATAAAAATGGTGGATTTGAAATGGAATACTGGTGGTGTTCTAGAGGTTCTAAAGGTAGGAAAAAAATAGGAATTTTGCACTGGAACAAAATCCTAAATCATAGAATCATAGAATGGTTTGGGTTGGAAGGGACCTCAAAGATCATCCAGTTCCAACCCCCCTGCCATCAGCAGGGACACCTTCCACTAGACCAGGTTGCTCAAAGCTTCATCCAGCCTGGCCTTGAACACTTCCAGGGAGGGGGCATCCACAGCCTCTCTGGGCAACCTGTTCCAGTGTCTGACCACCCTCACAGTGAAGAACCTCCTCCCAATATCTAATCTAAACCTCCCCTCTTCCAGTTTAAAGCCATTTCCCCCTGTTTTATCATTAACTGCCCTTATGAAAAGTCCCATGGACTTGTGCACCCTCCGACTAAAGAAAGTAAGTAGTGAAGAATAGAAAACCTAGATACAATAGGAGCGGTTCTGGGAGTCAGGTCATTGCTTTCTAGGGTCTGCTCAGATCTGCAGCTGTAGTGATATTGGAGAGCTTATTATTGAAAGCTGCTCATTATCAGTTGATGTACAAATGCCATTAATTATATTAGAACAGTTGATTTAGGGAATGCTCACCTTAACTCCAGTAGTACAGCTATGTATGTGGTGACATTTGTGGAAAAGGGATGACAAGGTGGCGGTGAAGAAATGTTTTAAAGCATTTCCAGCTGAGTTTGGAAGAGGCCATCTGCCCATATCCTTTAAAAAATTAAGAAGTGTAGGAAACAAATTAAAATTTCCCTAAGTCAAACCAAAGTAAAACTTGTAGAAAATATAAAAAAAAAAAGATAACAAAAGGATCTTCAGCCATAAGTGGAGGATTCTAGGAAAAAACAGTGGTAAAATTCTGAGGAGGTGGGTTGACATAAACCATCCTAGGCGTGGTCTGAAGATTAAAGCAATACTGTGCTACCAATTTTTGTAATTCTGGAATCAGAGAAAGAGATGTTTGGAGCATGGAAATTACCCTGTCTGAGGCAAACAAAAAAGTCAGCTTTCTCTTCATGTAGGGTGACAGCATAGTTTCTATCCTAGAGTTTTTAAAATATCAGCAGCTATTTTGGGCACTAAAGCTCTGCAGATACCCATCTGAGCAGACAGGGTGTTTTCTTATCATCCGTATGTAGGACTAAGTAGTGGTCTGAACCGTTACTGTGGGTTGTTATCTTGATCATAATAACATTCAAGTCTTTAGTATGAGTTTTGAAGGAATGAAATAGTACACAGACTTAAAAATAAGATAAAATTCAGCATGGGCTTGCCAAAGTGTAGATTGTATCTGATTATGTTAGAATTTTATTTGGTAATTTAATTTTTTAGGTTCAAGAAATGCCAGAGATCTAACCTGGGGAAAAATAAAACTGTTGGTACTATATCAGAAGGGATATTTGCAGTTGAATTGGAAAGGGACTAAAACATTACCCAGTAGGAAACTGGTGACATGTAATGATGAAAGGAGATACGAGGCAAGAGCAAAGTTAGTGGGATTTCTTTAAATTAAAATAATGGCATAGAAACTAAAAAAAAATCAAAGTTATATCTACTGATGATAGAAAATTGGAAGAAATTATCAAAGTAGAGGACATTTTGTGTTGTGTAGGCGACTATGAGGCGTAGAGTTATAGTAGTCAAATAATACCTCACAAAGATGTGGAGTAGAAGGCTGTGGATTTACGTGTTAACAGCAAAACTCTCTGGTAGAATTGGGAACTGCTGGATGTAAAAAATGAAGAGGCTGTAGACCCACCTTCAGTAGATGTTCCAGGATGTCGGTGGCACTCGTGTTACTTCCAGTGCCTGCAAGAGCCTTTGGTACAGAGGAATCCCACGCTGAAGATTGACTGACCGCTCTTTTCCTTGTTGTCTTTTATGTAACTGAGGACTAGAAAATGTCTTCCCAGTCACATTTCTTTGTCTGAACAACCACAGTTTCTTTAGGGTTTTTAGGTCCTGTTTTCTAGACTTCTTACACTTTTTTTCTGGAATCATGTCTTGATCTGTTGGAGAAGGCACTGGCAAAATGTCACCTTTAATATTGTCTGTAGTACCAGCACACAAGGAAGTAGATTAGAACTGGAAACAGTGTAGTAGAAGAGAGTTACCAAAGTTGAGAATTTATATTAGAAGCATAATTCAAAAAGGATTTTAAGAAGGAAGGAGTAGGGAAAATGATTCTTTTTGTTTGTTGTGCTGGGCAGACTGTTTAGCAGAAAGGGGCCGTGTGGGCCATAGTACTGAATTTTTGTCTCAGGAATCACAGAATCACAGAATATTAGGGATTGGAAGGGATGCAGCTATGGTCACTAAATGCAGGATTACCATATCTCACTTCTGACATCTTTAAGCATCTTTTTCATGTCAGAATTTTGAAAGGATTTGATACTTTAATGTAAGTGTTCTGGTTTTCTGTGCCTGCAGATCATAAGGCACACAGTGCTTCTGTGTCTTACATCAACAGGTAGTGAGCTCTCTCTGGCAGCATTGCTGGTGACTAAAAAGGAAGTTTTAAGAAGTGGGAAAGTATCTGAGTAGACAGAGATATTTGAATCTAACAGAGGTACAGAATACAGCTCCCTAGGAGAAGAGAGAAGGTGAAAATCCTGGAATTAGTTTCCTTTGGCTTGCTCTTGTGAAGGACACAAAAGTTCCTGACATCCCTTGCCTCTGGAGCTTGCACAAGTCAGTCACATACGCAGGGACCAAAGTTTGAAACAGCAAGAAAAGTTATTTACATAATTTAAAGGAAAAGGGAGAAGTCTGAGGAACCAATTTGAAAATAAAGAATTCAGCAGCAATTGTCTGTTCATATTTGTCCAGTCTCATCTTAGATCTTGATAAGAAAAAGTGGTGAGGATTGTGGGGAATAAAACACTTCTTTTGTTTCCTAACCCATCCTCACCCCTGCCCCAACTGTAGTGTTCTTCTGAGTGCTGTAAGTGGAGAAGACACTCAGGATCGTACCGACCGACTGCTTTTGACACCCTGGGTTAAATTTCTGTGGGAATCATACAGACAATGTCTGGATCTTCTCCGAAATAATTCTCGAGTGGAACGCCTGTACCATGATATTGCACAGCAAGGTAAGTTGTAAAGATGGAAACTTAAAATATAATAAGATCTAAGACTTCTGTATTACATCCTGTAAAACTAGGAAATTAAAGGTTATTTCTGTTTGCATATTGCTTCAGAGTGGGGAATATGTTCATCTCTTAAGCATATGTATGTGCACACATATTATTCTTAAAATTCCAGAGGTTCCTCAAAATTACTGAGGTTTCTGAACACTGATCTTTCCTTGTAACAGAACCTGCAAGGAACAAGTGATATTTTTTTGTCCTGGACATACTGAGAATACAGTTATTACTGGTGCTGCATCTTTATTTCTTTTCTAACTTACTGATCAATATTAGTCGTGTTTTCACTTTGGCACCCAGAATGGCAGATGTCTTCCATTAACGTACTCTATGTCAGCTAACTTCAAAAACTAGTGTACACAAAAGGGTGTCCTGTAAAATATCAGTTTTGACACAGAAGTAACTTAGCAAAATATGAGGAAGGTAGTAGGAAGAAGTCCAGTCTGATTGTTTCTGGCATTATTCTGCAAAAATTGAATTTATAAGAATGAATACTTGCATGTTAATCTTTTCTTAAGGGTGAGAGATGAGCAGAAAAAAATGTTTTCCTTTGTATGTGTAACTTAGGTCTCTGTATTTTTGAAAAAAAAGAGTCTGTTAGATTTTTAACTCTGGATTGAAATTGTGCAAGTACCTTAGGAAGCGTGACCATCAGATGAATTCTAGGTACTTTAGTGTGTTTAAGTCTTTGCGATACAGGGTCGAGACTTCACTTTGTGCCTGTTTCTGGTCGAGATACTTTAGAATTTTCAGAGTGACAGTAGCAGAGCACAAACAGATTTTTGAGAGGAACTACAGGATCAAAGACAATTTTTTTCTGTATCATTTACAGTCATTTGAAAGCTCCATTTAACTTTACCATATTTAGGTGATTTGAGCATTTTTTACCCACACTTTACAAAGCCAAAATCTGAATTCATGCCATTCACAGGATTTTATTTGAGCTTTGTTCAAAATAAAAGCTCGAATCACTGCTTAAATTAGAACACCTTTAAAAGAGACACAGAGTGTTCCTTTTGCTCCTTAAGCTTAATTACGTAGAAGTATCTTCATTTTTTTTTGAGGTCAAGGTGGAAGTGCTCTGCATCGTCACTTACTCATTATGTGTGACATGTGACAGTATGTGTGACAGGTTGCATCTTGTTTGATATGTAAATGAAGATTCTTTAAACACATGACATACTTGAATCTCACTTGGAACTGCCATGGAGTCACCATTAGTGAGCATTCTTAATTTCTGTTGTTCATTTTTGCAGCTTTTAAGTTCTGCCTGCAGTACACGCGTAAAGCTGAGTTCCGTAAGCTCTGCGATAACCTGCGAATGCACCTGGGGCAGATCCAGCGTCATCATAACCAAAGCACCGCCATCAACCTCAACAACCCTGACAGTCAGTCCATGCACCTGGAGACCAGGCTGGTGCAGCTGGACAGTGCTATTAGCATGGAGCTGTGGCAGGTATGCAGCAGGGCTCCTGTGATCACACTGGAGTCTGCAGCCTTTCCAGAGTCTGTTCCACACAGATCATGTTTCATGGTTTATACTCCAAGGTAAAGACAGGATAAGAGCTAAAGAATGAAGTTTTAATATGGAGAATGTGATCCTACATGAATTGAATACTTTATCTGATGTTCCTGCATAACATTTCAAACCAAGCTTCTTCTGGTAGTAGTAAATGGTCAAGTAGCTGAAGTCACTTTGAGTGATGAAAGTGAGAAGCTGATGATGACACCTTCACCCCCGCCATCCTGCATTCTCATGAGCTAGATCACTGGGAGGTGGTTGGTGAAGGTTGAAGCCTGCTATTAGGCTGGGGCCCCGGCTTCGCTGGTTGGATTCTGTCAGTGTTCAGCCAGTGATGGCCCTTTCAAAGCAGGTTGTTCAAAAAGGGGCTTTGCTTTTCCAGCCTTTCTAATACAGAATTCCTTAAAAAGCCAAGGCTGTAATTTTTTGCTTTTATGAATTTGGAGCATGTTCTCTGTTTTGTTGTTTCTTTTTTTTAGTTTTAGTAAGTAATTACATGTAAGGCATATCACAGAGTCACAGTTGCCTCAATTGGAAAAGCCCTCTAAGATCATCGAGTCCAATCATGAACCCAACACTGACCAGTCCCCGACTAACCCATGTCCCTCAGCACTGTGTCTACACGACTCTTCAGTCCCTCCAGGGATGGGGACTCCACCACTGCCCTGGGCAACCCCTTCCAACGCCTCAGAACCCTTTCAGCAAAGAAATTCTTCCTCACATCCCATCTCAACTGCCCTGGGCACAACTTTAGGCCATTTCACTTGGTCCTTTTCACTTGGTCCTTGGTTGAACAGACCCACCCCCACCTCTCTCCACCCTCCTTTCAGGGAGTTGTAGAGAGCGAGAAGGTCTCCCCTCAGCCTCCTTTTCTCCAGGATTTGCAAGATTATATGTATTTTTAGGGAAACTATATCCATTTTTGATCACAAAAGTAATTTTAATAAAAAAATTGTAAAACCAGTAAATAGTAGAATTGGCGTAATAATAAAATAGTGTATTTTTTGTTATTCTGTACATGTTTGGTTTCCCCCCCCCTTGGTTTTTAGCTTGAAAATATGAAATAAACCAATTTTCAAAAAATTATGTGAAGTAATCATTAACTGATAAATTCTAAGCAGATAGTCAATGGGTTTGCAATATGTCTAAATAATGTCTGCATTAGGAAAGGCGTATTTAATTTCATGTAGCTGGTGAAACTGAAGATCACGGATTTCAGTGCTGTTAAATACATGAGTCTGACAACCTTTAGTGAATGTATATTTTTCCCTTTTTTGGGTGTTGCAAAAAACTTCCTAAAAGTAGTGTATTTGTTTGTTTGGTTTTTTTTTAGGAAGCTTTCAAAGCAGTGGAAGATATTCATGGGCTATTTGCACTGTCTAAGAAACCACCCAAACCACAACTGATGGCAAATTACTATCACAAAGTTTCAACTGTCTTCTGGAAATCAGGAAATGCTCTTTTTCATGCATCCACCCTTCACCGGCTGTATCACTTGTCACGAGAAATGCGAAAGAATCTCACACAAGAGGAGATGCAGAGGTGGGGAAAGAGATTTAATGTGATCTTAGATTCTATTTTTAACCCCATAGGTTCAAAAATAAACTAAATTGTACCCCAAAAGAAGCAGATGATATGTATGGTTGTGAGCAGCTCTGCTTAAAGTGGCCAAAATTGCCTCGAAAGAAATCAAGAGCAAGAAGGATATTTTACAAAGCTACGGTGTAAATTATCTAAACATCAGGATCACCTTAATTCAAGCTTCTTTCTCTGTTGCTGATTGGGAAGTTAAGGAAGTTAATAAGTATCTGTGTTTTGCTTCCTCCTTCTCAGTGGTGGTATTTACTTCACAAGATTTCATTATAACTAGTATAAACTTTTCTTTAGTATATAAAAGTCTGTATAGCCCAATGGCCTTCAGTTTTTTTGGTGACAAGTATGATACCAGCAAGGCTTTTGAGGCACACAGAGTCATTGACTGTGTTGACCTCCGAAGATCATGTACAGGCCTTTATAGAATCAGAATCTGGTGGGAATAAGTAACTATGGAAATTCTTATATTCCTTTTCATCTGGATACTAAGATTGGAATTTAAATATTTAATGTCATTTGTGTAGTTACATCAAAAGGTACATCTGGCACAGTGAATTTTAAAAATCAGTGCAATCAAAATGACTGGATTTGCAGCTGAACTAAGTTTTAAAAGGTGCTGCTTTCTGCTATTTGTATTTTGATATTTGCAGAGGTGGCTTAAATGTCTTTGTCACTTCTATGTGTATATACGTATGTATATACACACATATATAAGTAATGAAAAGATGTCAAAATCTTCCCCCTGGTTACTGAAAACATTACATTCTGTACTCTTACTGCACAGTTGGCATCTTTTCTGTTACTGCTGGT